TAAAGACCATATATGAAAGACCTAGAGCCAACATCATACTCAATGGGCAAAAACTAAAAGCATTTCCCTTAAGAACAGGGACAAGACAGGGATGCCCACTTTTGCCACTCTTATTTAACATAGTACTGGAAGTCTTAGCCACAGCAATCAGACAGGAAGAAAAAACTAAAAGGGACCCAAATTGGAAAGGAGGAAGTGAAACTGTCATTATTCACAGATGACATGATACTATACATAGAAAACCCAAAGACTCCATAAAAAATTATCTAGTCTTAATAAATGAATTCAACAAAGTAGCAGGATACAAAATTAATATCAAGAAATTTATGGCCTTCTTATACAACAATGACAAACTCACAGAAAGAGAAACTAAGAATACAATCGCATTGATCATTGCTGCAAAAAATTTAAGATACCTAGGAATAAACTTAACCGAAGAAATAAAGGACCTATTCACAGGAACTACAGGTCATTGAAAAAAGAAATAGAGGAAGATATAAAAAAGTGGAAGCACATACTTTGCTCATGGATTGGAAGAATTAACATCATTAAAATGTCCATGCTACCCAAAGAAATCTATAGATTCGATGCAATCCCCATCAAAATACCAACGGCATACTTCATAGAACTAGAACAATACTTCAAAAGTTCATATGGAGCCACAAAAGACCTCCAATAGCCACAGCAATCTTGAAAAAGTAGAACAAAGTTGAGGGGATCACATTGCCATATTTCAGGTTATACTACAAAGCTACTGTAATCAAAACAGCCTGGTACTGGTGCAAGAACAGGTATATAGACCAGTGGAACAGAGCAGAGAGCCTAGAAATGAACCCAAGGCAATATGCTCAATTAATATTTGACAAAGGGAGCAAGAGCATACAGTGGAGCAAAGACGGCCTCTTTAATAAAGGGCATTGAAAAAAATTGGACAACTACATGCAAAAAAATGAAACTAGACCATCAACTTACACCATACATTAGAATAAACTCAAAATGGATAAAAGACTTAAATGTGACTCATGAATCCATAAAAATCGTATAAGAAAATGTATACAACAAAGTTCAGACATCATACGCAGCAGATTTTTCAGTGATACATCACCGAAGGCAACAGAAACAAAGGAGAAAATGAACACATGGGATTACATCAAACTCAAAACTTCTGCACAGCAAAAGATACAATCATCAAAATGGAAAGGCAACCGACTGTATGGGAGAGCAAAATTGTCAATGATATATCAGATAAGAGGTTAATTTCCAATATATATAGAGTGCTCATACAACTCAACAAAAGGAAGACAAAGAACGCAATTAAAACATGGACAGAGGAACTAAATAGACACCTCTCCAAACAGGACATACAAGTGGCTAAGAGACATATGAAGAAATGCTCAACATCACTAGTCATCAGAGAGATGAAGATTAAAACAACAATGAGGTATCATCTCACACCTGTCAGAATGGCCGCCATCAACACATCATCAAACAAGTTTTGGGGAGGGTGTGGAAAAAAGGGGACTCTAGTGCACTGCTGGCGGGAATGCAGACTGGTGCAGCCACTATGGAAAACAATATGGTGTTACCTCAAAAAATTAAAAATTGAACTTCCATTTGACTCAGTGATCCCACTTCTAGGAATATACCCTAAGCAGCCTGAAACACCAATCAGAAAGGATATATGTACCCCCATGTTTGCAGCAGCACTATTTACAATAGCTAAGATCTGGAAACAGCCCAAATGTCCATCAGTATACGAATGGATAAAAAAACAGTGGTACATATACACAATGGAGTACTATGCAGCTGTAAAAAGAACGATTTCTTATCCTTTGAGACGGCATGGAGGGACCTGGAAAGTATTATCCTAAGCGAATCAAGGCAAACAGAGAAAGACAAATATTATATAATCTCATTGATTTGTGGAATATAATGAACATAACAGTCTGAGGAATGTGGTATTCCCAGAGACATGGAAATGGGGTACAGACTGACAGTGCCCCGAAGAGGGGTTAGTGGAGTAGAGAAAAATCACAGAAGTTATATGCATGTGTGCATGAATAATGGACATGGACAACAACGCTTGGGACAGGGTGGGGTGGGAGGAAGAGTGGGGAATCAGTGGGGGGGGGGGAAGGAGAGACATCTGTAACAAAAATAAATAAATTAATGAAAAAACAAAACAAAACAATGAGAACTGTAAAAAAAATTATTCCAGAGACAAATGTCACAGAACTAGAATAAACACTCCAAATGTTGACATGGAATAAAAAATGACCCTAAATAGCCACAGCAATCTTATAAAAGAAAAACAAAGTGGAGGGATCACATTAGCAGATATGAGGTTATAGTACAAAGCCACTGTAATCAAAACAGCCTGGTACTGGCACAAGAACAGGCTGATAGATCAATGGAACAGAAAAGACAACCCAGAAATTGACCCAAGACAATATGCTCAATTAATATTTGATGAAGTTGGCAAGAGCATACAGTGAAGTCAAGACAGTCTCTTCAATAAATGGTGTTGGAAAAATTGGACAGCTACTTGCAAAAAAATGAAGCTAGACCACCAACTTACACCATACACAAGAATAAACTGAAAATGGATGAAAGACTTAAATGTAACTCATGAATCCATAAAAATACTAGAAGAAGAGGTGGGGAACAAAATTTCAGACATCATACACAGCAGAATTTTCACTGATACAACACTTAAAGCAAGAGAAACAAAGAAAAATATTAGTACAGGGGACAACATCAAACTAAAAAGCTCAGCAAAAGAAACAACTATCAGCCCTGGCCAGTTTGGCTCAGCGGTTAGAGCGTCGGCCTGCGGTTTCTGAGAGACCCGGGTTCCGTTCCCGCTAAGGGCACGTATCTCGGTTGTGGTTTGTCCCTGTCCCTGGTTGGGTCTTGCGGGTGGCAGCCACTCGATCTGTACCTTTCACGTCCGTTTCTCTCTCTCTCTTCTTCTCCCTCCCTCCCTCCCACTTTATCTGAACAAAAAAATGAAAACAAAAATGTCTTCGAGTAAGGATAGAAAAAAAAGAAACAACCATCAAAATGGAAAGGAACCCATTATATGGGAGACCATAATTGTCAATGATACATTACAAAAGGGGTTAATTTCAAAAATATATAGAGTACTCATACAACTCAACAGAAGGAAGACAAAAAGCCCAACTAAAATATGGGCAGTGGACCTATATAGACACCTCTCCAAATAGAACATACAAATTTCCAAGAGGCATATGAAAAAATGCTCAACATCACTAATCATCAGAGAGATGCAAATTGAAACAACTATGAGGTATATATTGAACTGCCATTTGACCCAGTGATCCCACTTCTACGAATATAACCTACAAAGCCAGGAACACCAATCAGAAAGAAAATATGTACCCCCAAGTTTGTAGCAGCCCTGTTTACAATAGCTAAGATCTGGAAACAACCCAAGTGTCCATCAGTAGATAAGTGGATAAAAAAGCTTTGGTACATGTACACAATGGAATACTATGTAGCTGTAAGAAAGAAAGATCTCTTATCATTTCAGATGACATGGAGGGACCTGGAGAGTATTATGCTAAGCGAAACAAGCCAAGCATATAAAGGCAAATATCACATGATCTCAGTCATTTGTGGAATATAATGAACTAAACAAACTGATGAACAAAATTGACCCAGAGACATAGAAGTAGGGTACAGACTGCCAATCCTCAGAAGATGAGGTGTTGGAAGGAAGAGATAAACCACAGAACTTATATGCATGTATGCATAACCAATGGACATATACAACAAAGCTGGGGATCAGGCGGGGGGATGGGGAGGAGGGTGTCTATGCGGAAAAATGGGAAACATCTGTAACAAAAACAAATTAATGAAAATAATTTTTAAAAAAAGAAACAATTTTAATATGAGCCAAGGGAGAAAGTTCCCATTAGAATATGGACATATCTAGGAAGTAAAGTTAATTTTGGCAGAAACATGCACAGAATTTTTGTGATTTTTACACACCAATTAACATGTTATAAAATTCTCCTAAAGAAAACCCTAAGTAACTTAAATAACTGATCACATGTGTGGCCTGATTTTCCTTCCCTGCCCTAATTCCAGCTCTTATGTTTTAAATGAAAATGGAACCCGCAAAACACTAGCCATCCTGCCCTTGGACCCCAAAACAAGCAGAGCACTTCTGTCCAAGTCCATTGTCTGTCTCTCTCTCTTTCACACCCCCTCTCCCTCATACAAACACACACCTTCCTGTATGGCTTTCGGCTGGACCTGTGAGTAATAAACCTTACATTTTCATATTTTCCTAATGGTTGTTGCAATTATAATAAAGGATCACAAGGGCCCATCCAGCCATGACATTGACCCTGGTCTAAGGAACAAGACAGAGGCCAGTGCCCAGGCATTTCTACCCTATTGCATCACTATCAATAGACTGATACTTACAGGGAACAATCATAAAGTCTACATTATCAGAAGAGCAATTAAGAAACTGATGTGTAAAGAATGAGACACAAGGTGAAAACTGAGGTTTCAGATTTTTTAGGGAATAGAATTAGATAATGGATTAAGTAGACAGGTGAAGTTTTTCCACATGAGTAATACCACTTATTACTATTCTACCTACAAAACAAGAACGAATTACATACAATAATATATGTCATTTGAGAAGAAATTATTCTTAAGACATACATCAATGTTGCCAGTGAAGTAAATGAAAACTTCCAAATATTTCTGATCAAAACTGGAAAAAACTTTGTGAAAGTAAAAAAAAAACAAAACAAAAAAAGGACAAAGAGAAATGCTGTCTATATAATAAACAAAACAGAAAGCTTAATAACGTGGTTACTTAAATTGTATAGAGAAGTTAAAACAAACAAAGGAAATTCAAGGACAGAAATAAAAGGAGCCATTTAAAATACCACAGTCTGATGAAAGAATCACAATTTCTGGTTTTGAGTCTTAAAGCCCTGAAATCAAGGGCAGTTTTTCTACTTGGGGATGATTGTGCCTTTTTTACCTGCCATCCCAAAGAATCTTTTTAGGACTCTGTTAATGTCTTTGTTCCTCAGACTGTAGATGAAAGGGTTCAGCATGGGTGTGAGCACGGTGTACATCACTGAAGCTGTTCCAGTTGAGTGGGTAACAGCAGAGATGAGGTACTCCCCTAGGATTGTGCCATAAAATAAGAAGACAACTGAGAGGTGAGACATACATGTAGAAAATGCTTTATACTTCCCTTGAGCTGATGACATTCCACGTATGCAGGACACTATTTTAGAGTATGAGTAAAGGATACCAGAGAGGGGAACACCACCCCATAGCACAGTTACTAAATATATTACAATGTTATTAAGAAAGGTGTCAGAACAGGCAAGTTGGACCACCTGTTTGAGTGCACAGAAGAAGTGTGGGATTCCCAAGTCTGTACAGAAGGACAGCCGCAACACCATTAAACTATGTAATAAGGAATTCAGGACACTCATGATCCAGCACACCAGAACCAGCAGCCCACAGAGCCGCGGGTTCATGATGATCGTATAGTGCAGAGGGTGACAGATGGCTACAAAGCGGTCATAGGCCATTGCAGATAGAAGGAAATTATCCAGCCCCCCAAAGAGCAGGAAAAAATACATCTGGGAAATGCAGCCTTCATAGGTGATGACTTTGCTCTGTGTCTGGATGTTCCACAGCATCTTTGGGATGGTGGTAGAGATGAAACAGATGTCTACCAAGGACAGGTTGGAGAGGAAGAAGTACATGGGTGTGTGGAGATGGGAATCTGAGCTGATGGCCAGGATGATGAGCAGGTTTCCCAACACTGTGGTCAGGTACATAGAGAGGAAAAGCCCAAATATGAGGGGCTGCAGTTCTGGTTCCTCTGAAAATCCCAGAAGAAGAAATTCTGAAATTGAGGTATGATTGCCTGGTCCCATGTAGTGGAAGTGACTATTAGGAAAGGAAAAATAGCATGATTAGTTTTTACATAGATGGCATAGTTGAAATGCTGCAATTATTTATTCACTAAGGTAACAAAATCTATTTTTTGTACCTGACATCCCATTTAAGACACCCTCCTCCCCGTGACATCTCTGATTTGAAATTCCTGTCCTTCTCAGACCTTTTTTCTAAGTGGTTTTAATGAGAAATGTTTCATGCTCTTGAGGAATATTTATTGATATTCCCCATCTCTAGTGAAAGGGATGCTGAGAATCAAAACTCTTAGAATATGATAATAAAGGAACATATACAATATATGTGTCATACACCATGTTGGATGTTGTCATGTGAAGAAAAAGAAAATAGGTATAAAAGAGAGTGGATGGGGTGGGTATTTTGTTGTTGTTGTTGTTGTTTTGGTGTGTGCCCCTAGTGGGAACCAAACCCGGGACTCTCTGGTCCACACGCTGAAGCTCCAACCGCTGAGTCAAACCGGCCAGGGAAATGGGGTGTTATTTTAACTGGGAGTTCAGGCATCCCTGCTAACAAGGTCACATTTGGATTGAGACCTCAAGGAAGACAGAATTGGAGACAAGAGGTTATTTGAGGATGTGTAGGAAAACAGTCAGTGCAAAAGCCCTGAGATGACACTTGTTTTAGACATTCAAGACTCAAAAGTAAATTTAAAAAGTCCAGCATGATGAAATAGAATAGAATCAAGAATACACAACAGAAAATATTAAAGTGCACCATACATATTAAGGGTACATACATAATCGTTCCATGGTTCCCTTTGTTCACGCATGTGTGTGTGTGTGTATGTATGTAATTCTATGTTTGTGTGCAAAAATGCTGGATCTCAATGTAAAAGGTGGGACATAGTAAAAAAAATCTGGAATTCAGTGCAATAAATGTAAGAACAGTTTAAAAGACCAGTTCTTGCTAATGAAGGAATAGTAATAACAGTGAAGAGCCAGCAGAGAGCCAGGTGCAGAGAGAAGAGGCAGCCAGTGTCGGTGCTGAAGTTCCCTCAGACTCAAGAGACCACACATAGACTGGACCTTCACTGCTCTGCTGGCCTCATCACAGCGTCTGCCTCAGCCCCTGATTAATTGTGATTCCTGCACCTATTCCATGTGTATTAGATCACCCTCTTTTTTATATGGCCGAAAATTGGTGAGTCTGGCCCTTCTCTCATTATCTATCTGGCATCTTTCCTTTGTTATTTTTGGCTTTGAGTTTTGATCTCTTTTGTGACACATCTGATGGGATGCACTAACTAGTCCTGGTTCTGTTCCTTGTCAACATGCAAAGTCCTTCATATATATATATATATATGTATATGTATATGTATATATATATATATACATATATATCTATATATCTATATCTCCTCACCCAAGGATATCTCCCCCCCCCCCATTGATTTCTAGATAGAATGGAAAGGAGGGAGAAAGGGAGAGAGAGATAATAGAGAGAAACATTGATGTGACAGAGGCACATCAACTGGTTGCCTCCTGCAAGACCCCAACCAGCGCTAGAGACCAAACGTGCATCCCAGGCACGTGGCCTTGATGGGAAATCAAACCTGAGACCCTGTGGTCTGCAGGCCGACATTTCAACCGCTGAGCCCAAACTGCCAGAGCTCTTCCCAAACTATAATATAAAATCCAGTTTATGCCACAACTATTGATCCCCTCCCTTCACATATTTGTCCCAGAGAATATGATGTCAGAGCACACTTATTTCTTTGCACTGGGCCTTCTTTGTATAATGTGAGAGCACATGAGCAGGGAGCTCACCAAGTTCGTTCACTTATGTGCTTTTACAAATGTGTGCTTTTATATAGAAAAAATATTAAGGTATGGAATATTCCTAATATAAAAAATGGCAGGGGGCCCAGCTAAAGTGACTTAGTTGGTTGAGTGTCATCTAGTGCACTGAAGAGTAGCTGGTTGGATTCCCCATCAGGGCATGTGCCTGGGTTGCCGGTGTAATCCCCGGTTGGGGAGCACGTGGAGGGTGGCCAGCAGATTTCTCTCTTACACTGATGTTTCTCTCTCTCTCTTTCCTCTACTTTCTAAGCATGTCCTCGGGTGAGGATAAAAAAAAAGTGAAAAAAAAATGGCAGGGAAAATAAAACATGGTTATATATTGTGAAATCAAATAATACATTTTTATACATTCCATTAAATGCATCTATACATATGTAAAGGAATTCTATGCCAAATAGCAATGTTTTTAGAAAAAACAAATTTTACATACTAAATAAATTCATTATATATTAGTCTACCTAGCAAACAGATAGGTAATCTCTCAGCTCGGAGCAAGCCTGGTCAGGCTCTCAGGTTACCTCAGGCAGAAATTCTAGGATCCATTCATCCGAATCTTTCCCACAGCGTCTGCTGCACTCTCAGACTCACCTGGATGGGGTCTCTGAAAGGAGGGGCTCCTTGTAGAAGTTGGAGCTGCTCCCTGGATGGTTAATGTCGGAGACTGAAGCTCTGTTCTCAGATAAAAGAGCAGGAGGGAGTCAAGCAGTAGTCTCTGAGCCACTTTGAAGACTCCAAAGAAACAAATATGTTCTGTTCAGCCTAAGATTGCACATGTTGAGTCTGCAGCAGATGAGATGTTTATGTCTCCCTTTATCTGCTCATTAGATACTGTTTTTACTGTTACTCCCACCTCTGAGCACCTGATTTCCCTCTGGGACACTGGTCTGGACTGAATGGAAAATTTCCCTGCTGATTTTGTTTCTAAGGGACCAGGTTAGAAGTTAAGTGAATCCTGTTTTTGTTACTCCTTCTCCATACTCTCCTGACTGCCAGAGGTCTCATCCACCAGCACCTTACCCAACTGTGAGTTAAAGTTTCTCAAAAGTCTGAGACTGAGGAAATGGACTTGACCAGGACCCTTGAATCTTAGAGCACTGACAAGTGGGGCACAAACCGTGATGCCTCAGAAAATTGCTGTTTCTCTGCTCAACCAGAGAGAGAACTGCGTGACTTTGATGGAAAGCTTTGTGCAGTACACTCCTTGTCTTCATGACACATTTGCCACATCAAAGAGTAATTTCATACTTATATCAGAAGATAAAAGCTGACACATTATAAAACCTTTGTTAATTATGAGACATATTTATATAATATTATGCTATATAATCTAAGGTTAATACCTAATGATTTAATTTTTTAAAAGGCTTTCTCTGAGGTGGTAAAATTATGAGCTTCTTTCTTCACCACAGAAATGGGACTTGAAGAAGTGGAGTCATCTGCCCAAAGTTATAATCAGAGTAAGGAATGGGTGTTGATTGGAATCTGTCATGTTGTTTTCAGTTCTCAAATTCTGCAGTGGTTCCCTTTATAACTATGAATCCCCAAGATTCTAGTTCAAGTGCTGATACTGATTCAGGGGGTCCTGGTGAGCCCAGGGCATCTGCATTTCTCATAAGTTCCAGGAAAATGCTGATTTTTCAGGTCCTTGTCTGAGGACCACTCTTTAAGTAGCAAGCTTTGCTCCTGTTACAGAGTAAGAGGCATGTAGTTGTAGGTCATCTTCACCAAAGATTATGTTTGCTTAAGATTTTCAATGAAAGGTATACAGTCATGCACAGCTTAGCAACAGGGATATGTTCTGAGAAATGCATCCATAGGCGATTTTGTGGTTGAGGGAACATCAGAGAGTACACTTACGCAAACCCAGATGGTATAGCCAACTACTCACCTAGGTTGTATGGTTTAGCCTGTTGTTCTTTAGGGGAGGAAAACTAATTTAACCTATTCTCTTCTGGGTTTTTGACTGACACATCCTTGTAATAAAAGACAGATTGATGAGACAAAAACAAACAAAAGCTTAATAACATATATACCTCTTCTGTACATGGGAGAGACCTAGGAAAACCACATAACTTCTGGAAATACCACCTTAACTACCATCCTTACTGAAGACAAATAAAGGTGTTGGGGGAGGGGAGAGGCAGATAGAAAATGCACAGTAAACAGGGTAAGGTTGTTATGCAACTTTAAATAATTGTCTTTTGCATTGATAAGAGTTTCTAGAGATAAAGTCACCACCTCCCCATTCCTGGTATGGCAAAGGAGACACCCCTGCATATGCAGACTTTCCTTACAAATGTAAGTGTCCCTTACAAAGGGTAACTTGTACTTGGTTTTCAAGGTTTCCCCCATGTCTGTAGTGTCTTAAAATTAACCAGCCTAAAATAAGTATTAGGACAAAGAGATGTTTTAGGGTGACAAATTCTGTTCCTCTATAGTTCCTAGGCTACAAATCTGTTCAGTATGTTACTGAACTGAACACAGTAGGCAACCGTATCATGATGGTAAGAATATGTGCAATGTGTGGCACTAACCTGTTACCATGGTTGTGACATCACTAGGTGATAAGACTTTTTCAGCAATCATGTTGGTCCACTGTTGTGCCTCATTGATCGAAATGTTATTATGCAGCACATGGCTGTTCTCTCATTCCGGAAGCTGTGATAAATTGTTTGTTTCTTTTCATAAGGTCTTTGATGAAGCCAAATAATACATTTCTGATAAAGAATCTGTTGTAGGCAGAATAAGGGCTTCCTAAAGATGTCCACAACTAATCCCTGGAAACTTTGAATATGTTATTTTTTATAGAAGGGGGATTAAGGTAGCCCATTGCTAATCAGCTGACTTTAAGATTAGAAGACTGACCATGATTATGCTGGTGAGAATAATGTAATCACCGTGGTTCTAGAACAGAGGTAGGGAACATTCGGCTGTGGGCCTTAAGCCCTAGAAATCCATGCCAGCTAAGATCACACGCCTCACCAAATTAGCCTAACTAAATATAGCAGGCTAATTTTTTTTTTTTTATCCTCACCCGAGGACATTTTTCCATTTTTTGTACAGATAGAGTGGGAGAGAGAGAGAGGAAGAGAGAGAGAGGGAAACATCGATGTGAAAGGGACACATCGAGTGGCTGCCACCCGCACGACCAACCAGGGCCG